CACTAATCTGTAAAAAGGCCTTTCTTATGTCTGAAATAACGCCGATTTTACCTTCTCTAAACCGTAAAATGATAGAAGGAATGAGTTTCACAAGATTGGCTCCTTTTTCTAAACATTGGTTTAACGAAGATTTATTTTCTTTATGAGCAGACGCATCGAAAACAGGTCGAACTCTCGTTGTCGAATTTTCTTTTACTACAGCTCTATGTGGCAAATAATGCCCTTGTTTATCGTCATCTTTCAACTCTTCAATAATGCCCTCTTTTAACCATTCTTCCAGTACATTATTATAGGTATCGAAAAGTTGCTTTTGTTCCAGCTTCTTGCAAACAACTTGTAATCTCTTTTCCGCAATATCGTAATTGGTAGGAAGTGGAGGATGATCTTCAATCCATGGTAACCTAACGACATATCTACCTTCGCTGTCTCTCTCAGTCGTATCATTAAAAAACTGTTGTGCTGCTTCCGTCATTTCCTCTCTACTTTTCTTTTCGATTGGATCCTTGATCCCCAGTACATCTAATTCCCATAATTCACTTATAGCCAAATCTCTAACTAGACATGACAAAGTTGCATTAAAAGTAGGTTTAACGTTATTTACTTTACCCATTACTGTCCATCCGAAAACCGTACCGAGTGCGACTAAACCGCACGACAATACGCGTTTTTCTCCCGTATAAATAGCACCCACTATATCCGCTCCCAACAAAATCTCTATGGGTTCATAATTATTTACGTCTTCTATACAAACGCCAAGTTTACATAATTCTTCATACGCCGGTCCATGGCTAATCGATAAAACATTATGACATATGACGTCTTGATCTAACATTTCAAAATTAAATCGGTTTCCACTAACTAATGTGACGTCATAACATTCATGCAACTGTTCTACTTTCGAACCGCCAAACAACCCGTGTACAACACGCTCTTTACGTTTAGATCGGTAGCCTAATCGTTGTGCTATTGCTTTTACGATGTACGACTTCTGCGAACCACTATCTATCAAGGCTCTAACTTTTCGAAGGCCATTCTTAGTTTCTACATTTACCTTTAAAGTTGGTAAAAGAACACTAGAATCAGTAAAATTCGAACTTGACAATGTCTCGGTTTTATTGTTGTTTACTGGTGATTTTATTTTATGAATTGTTGCTTCCTTCTTCTCATCACCTGTCTTCAGATAAGCCGGCAAATCAGCACAAATTAACGTCGCGTGTGTCTTAGAGCAAATAAGGCATCGTAATTTAACCCTACATTGTCTTGCTAGATGCCCTGTTTTTAAACATTTAAAACACGCCTTTTTCTGGGATAAAATCTGTTTTTTCTGCTCAAAAGACATCCCCTGTGCCTTAAAACAATTTTCCGACTCATGTGTACCTTCACAAAACACACATTTATTCATCGACTGATTTATTAACCCCGCAGCGGTGGGTAAATTTGACCCTCCTTTGAAGAGAGACCTTCTTTCCCTGTAAGACTGTTTTTCATTTACTTTCAAAGTATTATTGGCCGGTACAATCCCAAAACCTTCAGAAGCAAGCACGATTCTCTGCTCATTTTCTACTTCTGATCTCAAAAATTCTAGTAAGCTGTGTAAACGCGACGAAACACTATCAACATTTAAGCTCTGTACTGAACCTGCATTTGAATTACTTATGCAAATGGAAGCTGACGTACGTTGCCATACTCGCAACAGGTCCTGAGGCAAACAAGATTCTATCAATGGAAAAAGTATTGCGGCACAATTTTCTGAAGTTACACCTAACGTGTCTAAAGCCCGAAGCTGTGTTTCAATTTTATCGTATAGAGAAGCAATATCTAATTTTTCAGGTGCGGTAGCATTAACTAATATTAGTTTTAATATTTCTCTTACATAAACTTCGGTTTGAAGATCTTCTCGACCAAAACGCGACTTTAAACTATCAACGATTTTTGGATAATTTTCTGCAACAGCCGGAAAACTTTCCACCAAACGACGCGCTCTACTACCCGGCACAGTAGCCTGAATTAAATACTCAATTTTATCGTGCTCGTCTATTCTTATGTCTTCATCTATTTTTTTAAACTGACCCCAAAATTGCAGCCACTCCTTAATAGTTCCGTCAAATTTTTTAAATTCTATTACAGGTAATCGAAACTTACGTCTAGTTGCTGTTGTGTCATCACCTTGGTTCTCAACTTCTTCAGTCTCTACTGAACTCGTTTCAGCCACTGTCGCATTAGTTGGACTCAATAACTTAACACATGTAACGTGCATTGCATGATACTTTTCGATATACTGGTCACAGGCTTCCAGTTCTGCTTCAAATTCTTCCTCTACAACCTCCGCCTCTGCCAGCTGCTCGAAAATAACTTTATCTAACGCTTTCAATTCCTCAAATCTGTCTTGCACCAACCGCCACTCGGCCTCCACTGTTACCAAATCAAGAGGCTTTTTACTCAAAGCCTGTTGCAACTTGGTGAGGTTACGCGTAACTGAACTTCTAATCACAGTGCGACTTCTTTTATTCACTTCCATTTTACTGAGCTACACTCAATAAACGATAACAAATCTTGATACTGCGAATAAGAGACCCGTAAAAAACACTTTTTTCCAACCCGTCCTGTCACGGTCGCCAAATGTTCCAAATCAAATAAATTCGTCTAATAAATCGAACTAACTGTTGTCTTTATTATGGGTCGGATGATTTTACAAGGTCTTAACTACTTTATGACATCTTTTTTCTTTTATAATTTTTCTGACATTTTTTCAACAACTATCAAAAACATATTAATTATTTTTAAAAAACAAAAACCAAAATTAACAATAACTTTTTCGTATTCCCTCTGTATGTTGCAACAATAAATAAAGTTTATGTTTTGTATAATTTTCAAATTAAAACTTAAATTTTATATAGGTACAGTGGCGGACACGGAATTTCGAACATCAAATCTCTATCATTTCAAAAAATGCCAGTGCAAACCACACTTTAATTGCGTACAAGGAATTTCGAACATTAAATTTCTGACATGAAATTGATTTTTGTCATTATTGACGTTTATATATTTTTTTATTATTGACGTTTGTATTTTAAATTTGAAAGTGAATTTAAAGCGTCATGACGCGTCAACTTGACCTGATATAGAAAATGCAAGCTGTATCTTACTTTAATAAAGTTAAAATGGTAACCCTTCTTCAGAGCGGCATGTCGTATGGACAAGTTTCGGTACATTTAGGTATACCAAAGAACACCACACATGCAATTATGCGTAAATGGACACTAACTGAATTAGTGGATCGGCATCCAGGTTCTGGGGGTCGCCGAATATCTTCCGCTGAAGAAGACGAAGCGATCATAGATGAAATTAGGAATAATCCTTTCTCCAACGCAGTTCAAGCAGTCGGAATTACATATTTTCCGGGGTCAGTCAGAACTACTCATCGACGAATAAAGGCAAGTGGCTTGCATAATCATGCGGCAGCAAGAAAACCAAAATTAAGGCCTTGACATAGGGAAGCAAGAATTGGTTTCGCATTACAACACCTAGCAGCAGATGATGCATTTTGGAGTCGGGTAATTTTCTCCGACGAAAAAACTTTTCAACCTTGCCCAAATGGCCGGATCAGGGTATATAGGCCCCACAATACACGCTACAATGAACGATATGTTGATGCAGTCAAAAGTAGCGGACGCTACTCTGTCAACATTTGGGGCTGGATTTCGGCGGAGAGTCCTGGGAGAGACTAACAAGTGATGTTTATATTAGGATACTTCAAAACGTGATTGCTACCTTCTGTGGAACTGCATTATCCTAAAAATAATTTTGTTTTTCAACAAGATAACTGCTCGGTTCACACAGCACGGAGGGTAGCAGCATGGTTTCAAAATAATAATATAAACGTCCTTGATTGGCCTAGTCACAGTCCGGATTTAAATTCGATAAAGAATATGTGGGGATTAATGACAAAACGTTCAAAGGAGCGACGGATAGCAGTTCAAAATAGGGAAGAACTTGTCCATGCAATAACTGAAGCCTGGCAATTGCCATTGGATTACCACTGAAATCTATGTCTCTCCATGCCGACTAGATTGGCACAAGTTATTCAATCGAATGGAGCAATGACTAAATATTAGTTTACATATTTTTGTTTAGTTTAATTTGATGTTATTGTTTTATTTGTGTGGTTTTTGTTGGGTGAGGTTGATAATTAAAACAATAAACTTATCAAGAATCAAAGCCAAACTCGTACATGCTTTTAAATCAGTTCTAACCACAGAACATAAGGTTCTAACGGAAATTACGTACACACTTCATCACTTTCTGTGTAGATGGCGTGGTGACGCGACAAAGTACAACAGGGTCGTATTTAAAATATTTAAACATATTAGGCACTACAACACCCTTCCGTTTTGAAGAGCTGATTTACATGTGCGAATTATCCTGCTACATTTTATTAGAAAATAGTACAAACATAAAAAAATAAATTTATAAAACGAAACAAATTAAACTCTAGTAATACTAATCTATCACAATATGATATTGCAAAAGTTAGAAGATAAAATGCAAAATGAGATCAGTTTTAACAACATGGGCAAGATTTTTGTACAACTTTTCTACCTGAACCTGAATTCAAAATTCTCTCGTTTGAATATTACAAAATTAAATTATATTGTATATTAAATTATTTTAATTTGGTTGTCTTTGTGTGATTCTATAAATGGCAGAGATCATTAAATAAAATTTTGCTTTCGCTGTCAAGATGACGCGTCATGACTGTCCGGAAGTAAGGTTAGTTGTCATGACTGTCCGGAAGTAGGGTTAGTTGTCATAAAGGCAGATTTAGATTTTGATGTCAAATGAATTATAAGTCGTTCAAAATTCCGTGTCCCCCACTGTACCTAAATATTTAAATATTTAAAAACAATAATATTTAGTACTTAATCATACATAATTAATGTTTAAATTCCTGTCCAAAGTACATTTCAAATTTAAAAATATTAATGCAAAAAACGACTTACTCTAATTTGGTCATAAATTTGCCCATTAGAACTATATTCCCGACATCTGTTGCTAAAATGTTGGGCTAAAAGTGTAGATCCTGACTGGGTCTGTTGCTGAGACAAACCTATTTCTATAAAAATAAAAATAAACGGTTAATATTATATAAAAAATAGCAAACGTTTCTTATTGATTTCAAGGACTTTTATTTTTAATTCAATTCAGGTCTTGTGAGATAGAGATTAAAATTACACTTTAGTGTTTGTTTGTTAGGTATTAATAATAGATAGAATTAGGATAGAATTAGGTATAAATTTTACAATTGTTATTTTAGGCATAAACATAAACCATCAATTTAGTGAAATTACAGAATAAATTGTTTAATGATTTAAAACAAATAACAAAAATAATGAATGAGATAAATAGTCATTTTATAATTATTAAATTAAACGGTGGTTGATTTTTAAGTATCTATATAGTACATATATGTTTGGAATAATTTTCATCCAATTACGTACTTTTTAAAAATAAATAATCTTTTCGAATATATTTTACTTTATCTTTATTCTGCGGTTTGTCTATGCCACGATTCGTATGAAAATTAGGAATGCCGATTTTTTTTTTAATTCTCGGAATCGATTAAAATCGACGCTCCAAGAATCGATTCAAAAATAAATCGCTACCCAAATAATCAATGTTTTATTAAAATTTAAAAAAAGAAATTTTTCTATATTTGTATTTTGAACTCAACTTTAATAGTATATTAATGTTATGTTATTGCAAATGCCAATCGAGATTTGATAATCTGGTTGGACTTATCGGTTTATATTTGGATCCAATATATTTCCCACCTTTAAAAACATAAGTTCTAAAAGAATTGAAAAAGAACCACAATTAATTGTTAGGTACAACCTGTGGCCTCCATTAAATGTATTTACAAGCACCTTTAAAAGAGCACTTGTATTTGCATTAAATTAAAAGTTACCTCCATGATTGTTTTACAATAGGGTGTACCTACTAGGGGTGGAGAACTATCGATAGTGATGCAATTCGATATATCGATAATGCGTCGATTGTATCGATAGTTTATGTTATAAAAACAAATATTAATAGAAAACGTTTATTTTAAAGATAAGGCCAACTAAGTAAATTTTTAGACGTATCCATGGTATAAATATATGTATTTAAACACAGTAGCGGCTGGTGGATTTTGCGTATACCGATATTTTGCTAATTAGACATGGGACCCACACGAAATTTATAAGAGTTTATAAGAGTTACCGCAAGCAGAATTTAAATAGAAGTTTGTGAAAAAAAGATAGTTTTTGCTTCAGCTCCCCTGCAGCCTGGCCCCCCTAATAATGATAATATAAATTTTAGTGGTGCAATTTATAATTTACCATACTTTATTGACAAATTTCAAAATTTATTAAAAAAAATCAAATACACGTGTATGTACGTGTATGATATTATTTAAAACCAAATACACGTAGAAAAATATTTATTTAAAAAACTGATTAGCTCTAAAAAAGTGATATATTAAAAACACTAAATACAACCAATCGGCTTGTAGAAGTGCCATTTTTATATATGTGGTACACTGTACAGACAGTTTATTGACAAATTTGAAATTTTTAAAAATACAAATATTACAAATTTTATACTTTCAATTTTTATTTCTTTTACTAATATAAAAAAATTAAAATCGTATAAGATCTGTACTACTTATTTTTTTTAAATAATGAAATGTAACGATAAAGTATAGTAAATTATAAATTGAAGCACTTAAATTTAAATTATCCTTATTGGGGAAGAGGAAAATATACTTACTTTTTTTTAAAACAATTTAAATTCTGCTTGTGCAAAACTTTTTTTTTAATGTCATAATAAACTTATATAAATTTGGCTTGGGTCCCATGTCCAATAACCAAGATCAGTAGGTATTCACAAAATCCACAAGCCTCCACATTGCTAAACTAGCACAATTATTATTTTCCAATTTTATTGGCCTTTAAAATAACAAAAACCAAAACAATTAAAATAGATTCTGTATTGCATAATAATTTCAAATTTCTTTAAAAAAAGCCGTTACATATCAAGGATTTTACACAAATCCTTGGTTACATATGACATTATGACGCCGCACAGTGTTTCAATTCTCGAAATTTTCGGCAAAATATCAAGGAGTAGTCGGATTCTCCTAAAAATCCGTATATAGAGGTTTTTGGGGTCGCCGATAACGAATCTGGAATCAGAATTCCAAAATTCAAAATAGTACATCCAAAATGGCGGAATTAATTGAAAATCACCATACAGGGGTTTTTGTGGTCGCTGACAATGAATCTGGAATCAGAATTCCAAAATTCCAAATGGTGGACCTCAAAAGGCGGACATTTTTATCAAATATTGTCCAAATTAATTAAAAACCCGTAAGAGGTTCTTTTTAAAATGTAAATAAAACATCTTTTAATAAAATAGCTTAATTTAGTTTATAATAATTACATTTAAATGATATTATTTAATACCTACATATATATTAAACAATCTCCGTCACTGGATTCGCTCGTTGTATTATTAGCAGAGCATGGGAAACCATCAGAAGATAGCAACCGTTTTATTGCTTCGCGGGACAAAGATTTGCTCTTTTTCGGAGCAATTTTTTTGAAGCTAGAAATATATGGATCAGAAGATGCCATAAGCCAATGGAAAACATCTTCCATCGTTTTCTCCAGAGGAACTTTCAAAATTTATTTATAAAATTTAAATATAACAGATTTTATATTAAGTAATTTAAATTTTATTATTTCTTTTACTTAATATTTTAGCAACGATTTCTTAATTCGCTAAAAAAGTTTTCAACACAAATAACCACAATTCAACTTTGACATTAACACACTACAATGCGCATGCGGAGTTGTTTTAACGCACCTACAAGAAGGTGGGTTAAATATGTAAAATCGGTGTTAAATATCTTAGTAGTCACGAACGATTTACGCAAGTGAAAGTCTAGACAACGCTGTTGTAATAAACGTTTTGAGTTAAATCCGAGCGAATCGAGTAAACGTCATGAAAGCAACCCAAAAATAAAAAAAAATCTTATATTTTGTAAAGCAAAAACACAGATACGCGCACGACATAGGCTTAAAATCGCGAGGTTTTTTACCACAACCGTGCCTGAGCGCCCAAGAACATGTAGTTTTAAAGAGCCGGGGGCGAGTTGGTGCAGATAATTTATTGATGGCTTGATAGACAAAACTCTAAGCTATTCAACGGATCTTGAACTGATGCCTTACAATTCATTACAATTCATTACAATTTTTGTAGCTCCATTGTTCTAAAAGCTCGATTCAAAGTTTGCGATTTTAACAGACCGATCTTGTCGGTTACAATAATCCGTTGTACAAGCAAAATCTACAAAAAACAAATACATATGAGGCAAAAAACCTCAAGTGTTCCCACCTAAAAATGATGTTGTCTCCGATTTTAACAAAACTTTGCCAAATAATTGTCCTATTGGACTACCTTAATTTTCCAAATGAGGGGCAAAAAGGATTAGCGGGTTGCAGAGATACAGGGGCCTGAAATTTTTTTTTTTTTCGTGTGCTTAAAAGACGTCGAAATATTCATGTAAATAATAATTTTTTTTTAAATTGATAATCAACATATCGTATAGCATTTTTTCCACGCTTTACGATAAAAATGGTCTCAAAAGCGAGAAAAAATTTTTTGGTTATAAAAAAACGATTTTAAAAATATATTTGTTTTTTTCTCGAAATGCGACACATTGGATTTTTTAAAAATTAATAGATATTAAAAAAAAGCTTTTTCAGTTCCCTAAATTTTGATGTAATATGAAGATGGGATCCCAAGAATAAGTCGAAAAAAATAAGGGTTGAAGCGCGTAGGGACCGTGTGGCGAGCAGCTACTATAGTATACCTACAACTTTTAAAATTATTTTTATATAGAAATAAATGTATTTTTCGATGGGTTTAAGTCAAAACAGCACAAGCGCCAAATTTTTATTTTTTTTAGAAGAAGGTCGACAGAGAATTTAATTCTCTATCGACCTGCAGGTACATGTACTTCTAACAAATTTAAAATTTTTGGCGCTTGTGTCGTTTTGCTTTAAACTCATCGATTTTATTGCAATAGTTCAAATTAATAGCAATTAAAACCCATGTTTTGGTTTTTGTAGTCGAAAAAGAAAAATGTAGAAAGTAATAAGTTGCTCTTACTCTGAATAAATTACACGTGCACGTAAATGTAAATAAGTTCTACTATTTAATGCAATTGCAAGTGTCTCACAATAATAATAAACATTTTTCATGTAAACTTTTTATTGAACATTTTTGGGAAAAATATCATATTCGTTTGCAAACGATATTTTTTTATGTACAAAATTCCTTTTCCGTTAGGAAAAAATGAGTGATATTTCTGTGTCCCAGGAATTGATTTTGTAGAATAAAATTGCTTTTTAAGAATTTCGGCTGTTTTTATATGATATTTTTCAGAATGAAAAATACTTTTGTTTCTTTCAAACTTTTTTGAGCCTATTCATACAAATATTTGGCATCTAGAATTGGATTTTTTGATTTTGCCTGCAAACATGCGCAGGCAGCGAGTCTTTTTAAATTCTCACCAATGCCATCACAGAGGCCTTTACCGTGTGCTGTTGCATTAAAGTGCCACTCGGCTGAAATATTTCAAAAACAAGTACAACTTTAAAAACCTTATGCAACATGAAACTGATTTTGGTATTTCAGCGGCACTTTCATGCAACAGCACACGGTAAAGGCCCATGTGATGGCATTGGTGGGAATTTAAAGACTCGCTGCCCGCGCAAGATTGCAGAAGTATCTACAGACCATGCTTCACAAAGGCTTTCGATCACGGACATGCGCTTTGGTTAACTGCTGATCCACTGCCAGAAGTCAAAAAGTTTTGTTATCATCCTAATGGGTATTTTGTTTGTTATTATTGCGCTATTTTACCTATAGTATACATAAATTTAAATTATTTAATGTTCAAAATTTATAAAATGTATCTACCCTTACATATATTATACCTACCTCTATTCCTCAATGGGGAGGGGGGGCCAATGGGGCGGGGTCGGTTGGGTTGGGTTGTTGAGT